CAGCCAGGATGGTGCCGCCCCCTCGCGCCTCTCCTGGGCCTCCCACTGGGTGTTTTCCGGCTCCTGGAGTCATGTGATTGCATCTGGAGCTTAACAATGCAACCTGCCAGCACTAAAGGCTTGGACGCTGGGCAGCAAAGTTAGAGCAACCTCACCAATATTTTTTAAAGGCTCAAGATGTTTAAGCGAGGCTCATGATTTCTGTGGTTGGGTGCCGCCCCCTCGCGCCTCTCCTGGGCCTCCCACTGGGTGTTTTCCGGCTCCTGGAGTCATGTGATTGCATCTGGAGCTTAACAATGCAACCTGCCAGCACTAAAGGCTTGGACGCTGGGCAGCAAAGTTAGAGCAACCTCACCAATATTTTTTAAAGGCTCAAGATGTTTAAGCGAGGCTCATGATTTCTGTGGTTGGGTGTGCTCCCTCCACACCATCCTAGGCAGTAGTGCTCAGGGTAAGGCTGCAGAATGGGTGTTGCCAGGCATCCCTGCCCTGTCTCCTGCAGTAAGGAGACAATTTCAATGTGCTGTAATACTTCTGGATAGTTTTTTGATGCCATGTTTAAGGATGTTAAATTGCAGTTACCGAGTTACTTGTATAGTCGATACAGTTTGTATCAACTATACAGGTAGTTGATAGGACCACTCTGCAGAGCTGCAGCGTGAGTAGCTCCAGGAGCCAGCTCAAGCCGGAACTGAGTAGTCCCATTTTGGGCCGACTCTGGGAGCCACTTGCGCTGCAGCTCTGCATTTTAAATGTAGTAAGAGCTGCCAGGCTCTTGCTATATTTAAAAAGATGAAGCCCTACAGTGGTAACTGGTGTGAGCTCAGACATGATTTCCAAACCCCCAAACAAGGAAAACAATAAACCCTGATGGGCTATCTAAACATTTCCCTACTTCCACATTTTAAGAAGTCCATTCTTGGAGAGAGAAGCGTGACCCATCTCCCTCAATTCCTGGGAGAAACTGCTCTGATCTCAAACAAAGAAGAGTGGGGTGGAAACCCCTCATTTTCAGTTTGAAATTCCTCTACTGTATTTGCTATATTCTTGCATGATATTCATATCAATAAACTAGGCAAATACAACTTAGATGGGCTACTGTAAGAGAGGTGCATAACTGGCTGGAAAGCATTCTAAGAGAGTAGTTATTAACGGTTCACAATCCTGCTCAAAAGGCATAACAAGTGGGGTTCTGCAGGGGTCTGTTTTGGGACCGGTTCAGTTCAATATCCTAAACAACGATTTAGATATTGGCATAAAGAATACGCTTATTAAGTTTGCAGATCATACCAATCTGGGAGGGGGTTGCAACTGTTTTGGAGGATAGGGGTCTAATTCAAAATGATCTGGACAAACTGGAGAAATGGCCTGAGGTAAACAGGATGAAGTTTGATATGGACAAATGTAAATTACTCCACTTAGGAAGGAACAATCAGTTTCACACATACAGAATAGGAAGCAACTGTCTAGAAAGGAGCACTGCAGAAACAGATCTAGAGGTCGTAGTGAACCACAAGCTAAATATGAGCCAACAGTGTGATGCTGTTGCAAAAAAAGCCATGATTCTGGGATGCATTAACAGGAATACTGTGAGCAAGACACGAGAAGTCATTCTTCTGCTCTACTCTGTGCTGATTAGGCCTCAATTGGAGTATTGTGTCCAGTTCTGGGCACCACATTTCAAGAAAGATGTGGAGAAATTGGAGAACGTCCAGAGAAGAGCAATGATTAAATGTCTAAAGAACATGATTTATGAAGGAAGACTGAAAAAATTGGTCTTGTTTAGTTTGGAAAGGAGAAAACCGAGAGGGGACATGATAGTAGTCTTCAGGTATCTAAAAGGTTGATAGATGGAGAGAGAAAATTGTTCTCCTTGGCCTCTGAGGATAGGACAAGAAGCAATGGGCTTAAACTGCAGCAAGGGAATGTCTTACTTCAGAGGGTGGGCCAGCCAGACTCTGCTCTCAGATATGGAGGGTAACCAAGAAGACACAAATCGCTTAATGCGAATAAATGCAAGGTTTATTAGGTATTACAGGTGGTATAAAAAGAAGAGGCAAAAGAAGGCTTACAGCATCCCTTTGGCTTGCTGACTCAGCAAATGATGGACTTCTGGGCAAGGTCCGAAAGTCACCTTTGTACAGTTCCAGGTCCCTTGGGAAGTCCAAAGGATGTTGGCAACAGTAAACGATATATAGCCTGTACACAGAATTCTAGAAGCGGCAACTAACTATGTGTAAAGGAAGAAAAAAACAAAAATAACCACCTGCCTGTGAGAAGATTCCCACAGACAGGCTTGTTTACCCCAAAGCTTATTTAAACTATGTGGTAAACTCAGTCATGCTAGGCATGTCCTATCTCTTTAACGAGCTAGCTAGTTGGGAATTTTCCTTGCTAACAGCAGGCCAAAGCCTGTTTTCTAGTTTGCAGACATGAGAACTGGGAAAATTCACTAACTCCTTGAAATACAATGGTCTTCTGGTTTTCCAACCGCAACAGAGAGGTTTAGGTTGGATATTAGGAAAAACTTCCTAACTGTCAGGGTGGTTAAACACTGGAGTAAGTTGCCTGGGGAGGTTGTGGAGTCTCCATCTCTGGAGATATTTAAGAGCAGGTTGGATAGACATCTATCAGGGATGTTGGGCCCTGCTGTGAGAGCAGGGGACTGGATTAGATGATCTCTCGAGGTTCCTTCCAGTGCTAGTGCTCTATGATTCTAGGATTACTTATCAATCCCCAAACCCATTCAACTCCCCGTTACACGTCAGCCATTAACACAGCAGAGAAACACATCACCCGAACCCTGAGAGCCTGAAGTTTACTGCTTGGCTTCTCCATGTTTCCAGAATTATGAACTTATCTGCTCCCAGAGAGTGAAGCAGACCTTCCTCAGCAGTCGCTGCCCTTCCACAAGGTACACCTATCAAAACAAATGGAAGAAGTTTCAGGAATGGTATAGCCAACACAATCTACAAGTACACACCTCTCCAATACATACCATTTTGGAATACTTGATGGACTTCAGTAATGCTGGACACTTCATTAGCTCCATAAGAATCTGTCAGCCATCACTGTTTTCCACGACCCCGTGAACGATGCCTCGATGTTTGCCCATCCTATCACTTAATGGTTCTTAGCAGGTTTCTCAAAGGCATGACCACATATACATCCATCTGTCCACCTTGTGTTAGACTCCTTAAGAAGACCTCCCTTTGAACCCTTAGCGACGGCTTCAATACAGTACATGTTATGAAAGTATCTTTCCTCATCGCGATCACATAGACATGAATAAGTGAAATCTTTGCCCTGATGGCGGACCCACCATATATGCTCTTCACTAGAGATAAGATCATTCTCACACCCCATCCAAAATTTTTACCAAAGGTTAACTCTGATTTTTACATGAATGAACCCATTTATCTTTCCACCTACTGCCGTAAACTGCATGCTTTCCCGAGGAAGGCGGCATTACATTCCCTCGATGCAAGAATAGCTATCACATTCTATATTAACAGAACAAAACTCTTTAGAAAATCTAACAGACTTTTTATATCCATGTCTGGTCCCACCCCGGGAACAGCTGTCTCAACACAGCACATATTCAGGTGGATAGCAGCTTGCATAAATAACTTCTATAGACTCAGAAACAAGGAACCACCACAGGCAGTCTCAGCACACTCCACCCGAGTGATGGCTGCATCTACCGCCTTTCTATATAATGTCCCGCAAAGTGACATTTGCAGGGTGGCTACATGGTCTTCCACACATACTTTTGTGCAACATTACACATTACTGCAAGGATCAGTACCTACCACTGCCATGGGCGACTCAGTCCTTGCCTCTGTCAGTAGATGACTCCAAAATCCCACCTCCACAACAGTGGTTACTGCTTTTTACTCATTTGAGTGGAGTACCCACAAGACATACATCTTGAAGACCCATCATTACTGCAGAGGGTGAGTAACTTCTCACTTCCTCAGATTACATCCAAATATTTCATCTAATCTTCATCAACAGCTGGTTGGCTGTTAGCAGAAAAAACAAAAATATTTCACTAATGCTTGGTTTAAGATGATAATACAGATGTGTTTTAGCCTGTGTAATCTTTCCCATCATACTGTTAAAGAAATGCATGCATCAGTAGTTATCAAGGATTTCTTGTTCTCATAGATTCGTTATAAT